GATAGGTAGATAGATATATAGATGGATAGGTGTGTATATACATATATATCTATATATACACCTACACATATATCTCCAATGTAGGCGTACGGCAAGTTCGTTCCGATTTCCAGCTTTCTAAAAGTACAGAATCGGCCCATGTGATCCTTCCGGAAGTTTCTGCTGCTTGTTTGCTGCAATCTGCGATTACCTGGCTTGCAGCAAATTCTTTTAAAAGGTTCGAGAGGCGCCAAGCGTGGGGTTCGGTGTGAGAATGTCAGGGCGTGCCCTTGGCTGTCTGTCGCCAAGCCTAGTTGTGCCCACACTAGATCAGGCTTATAGTCCTCTCGGACTCGACCTGCATGATGCAGTATGTACCAACATGGCAGTGGCAGCAACAAGGGTTTAGGATGTAGGGCTTATAGGGTTTAGGGTTTCCTGTCATATGCATAGTCCAGGTGTAAAGAGGCCCAAGCAGAGGCTCTGAACCCTAAACCCTAAACATAAAAAGGCCCAAACAGAGTCAACAGAGACTGCTTAATCCAAGCATCGGCAGCCATGTCGGAGCCGGAGCCCTTAACGCCACAGGCGCAGCTGATTTCTGATGTGGGTGAAAGGTGTAGGGCTTTAATTAGGGGTTTTTAGGGGTTCTATCGCCCTAAACCAAACACCCTAAACTCTAAACTCTGTAACCCTAACCCCCCTAAACCCCCAAAGCCTTTCTAGTCTTTTCTAGGCCGCGGAGCTCTTGCCTTGGCTCTGTGGATGTGCCGGTACGACAGTGGAGTAAACTAGTCTGCATGTTTAGGGTTTGGGGTGACCTACTTCCTAAAAGCCCTCAAGACACGGAGAATCCAGCCCCAAAGCTTCGATGAGCTAGATCTTCGGCCAGGGTCTTCTTCGATGGATTGTTTGCTCGCTCTATCTGGATGAAGCCATTCCACGAGGATCAGTGATCCAGTGGCTCCTTTGCCTGCACTGTCGAGGGACCGATTTGCGTTGGTTAGTGACTAGTGAAGGCTCGGAGAACGTGGCCACATAAGCTGTGTTAACTTCGCCAAGCTCATGTTCGGGATCACGGCTGCCGTTGAAGTATAGGTTTTAACAACGGGGTTGCGGGTTTCAAAGGAGACCAAATTCGAGCATGTCCCTCATCGTCACCCAGCCAAGCTGAATGGCAGAGCTGGGGAAGGAAGCCAATATTCCAGCGTTGGAGCACCAAGATCATATTCAAGGATTACGATATCGACGCTAGGGCGTGACCAACGAGAACTCGATTCTCAAGTTATTTTGCCATTTGCTGTCCTGTGTCACACTGTGTGCAGGGCAAGGACAAGAGTCCAAAGGCTTGTTGCTGGACAGAACAGTATGCAGGGTAATGTACACCGCTGACTGATAGCCCCTGCCGCAACAGGGATCGTAGTAGGGGTCCTAATTAACATTCAGGGCCTTTACCAAAAGGGGTTCATCAATCGGGAGTCTACATTATTCCAACCTCGGCGAGGGTCAACACCAAAGAGACCCCTACAACGGACATGGCCTTGCAAGGTACTGGCAGCTGTTGACCGGTGTGAAGCTTAGCCAACAACAGCTGGAACCGTGGCAGCAGTTTCTGATGGAGTTGATGAGTTTAGGCTTTAGTGCTTTTTTGGTTTATATAGAGTTCATGGGTGTTTAGGTAGATAAAAATGCGAAGCCTCCAAATGCTATATCTCCGAACAGGGCACCCAAATTCCTGAACCCCCAACTACACGTTTCGGAGGAGAAGGCCCCCTATACTTCCAAGAAGTAAGGTCCAACAGCACCAAACTTAGACCAATAGCACAGGAACGCTTCGTCCGACCCATCAAGGTTTTCAAGGATTTCCGGTCCCTTACAATCAGGATCTCCCTTTTCAGTGTCTCCATATTAGTGGCTTCAGAGTTGGCCCATTTCCAGTAGCAAGAGCCCTGCGTCCTCCAGACTTCCAGGGAGACTTGGGTGTAATGAGGGTGCCTTAAACGGACATAGCTATACCCGAGTCGCTGGAAACCACAAGGCCCTCGAATTCTGCGGCAAGTTTCAACCTAAAGTTTAAAGCCATACAAATATGGGTAGTTCTGTAAGTTGGGGTCATTTTGTGGGTCCCCAAAACACTACGGCATCCTTGTAATAAGGACCCGAAAAGGGAACCCTTCGTCTGGGAGAAATGCCCATCTAGAACCCTGTCCCTCATCGTGCCCTTGTAGAAATCCTGTAGAAACCCGTTTAGATCCCTTTAAGGACACCAAAAGGGACTCTAGCAGCCAAGGTAATCCTGATAGAATCAACCCCGGGAGTCTACATGGACCCGCCCGGCTCTAAAAAGCTCCTTGGTGCATCACTTGAGGTTTAGGGGTTGGGGCTTTGGGGGTTTAAGGCTAGGGGTTTAGGGTTTGGGGTGTTGGTGCCCGGGGGTGGCGTTGCAGGCTCAAGTCATGAATGAGTTGCTCATGATGCTTCGCCAAATTCTACTTCCACTTTGGTACTCCTGCTTCTTCTTCCACCACAGCCACCACCACTACGTAGGGCTGATTACTAAGTTTAATATCAACCGTTCTCCACGACTTTAGTGCTCGTACTAGTAGTACTATTCTGGCCACCCTCCTCCTACTGCACCTCTACGCCTACGACTACTCCTCCTCTTGCTCTTGCTACTGCTCCTACTACACCTATACTCCAACGCCTGCGCCTACTCCTACTTTTACTGCTGCTGCTGCTGCTGTTGCTGCTACTACTACTACTACTACTACTACTACTACTACTACGACTACTACGACTACTACTACTACCACTACGACTACTACTACTACTACTACTACTACTACTACTATTACTACTACTGCTACTAACGACAATAATTTAGTAGAAACAAGACAAAATACCAACAATTGTAGATACTTACAACCATTTAGTCACAAACAATGTGCCAATGTATTCAAACATTGACATACTTCGTGTTGATGCAAGGTGCCATAAGCTGAGTAAGCCTTCACTCCGAACCTTGAGCTCTTACGCACTCTTCAGTTTGCCTGAGGCTAAACTTCCGCGCCGTCCTCGAGGAACCCCCGTTGTCCTGGCGCGGCTTTGTCCAGGAGGAGGACCACTCGATCCAGGCCGGAAGTTGAGGGTTTAGGGTGTTTTGTGGCTCAGAAATGTCTCAGGTCTAGAGGGATGTTCAGGGTCTTTGGATGTTGTAGGTTTCGGGGAGACTCGGGGTGCAGATTTCCAAGATGAACCCATTCGATTTCAGCTAGAGTTGGCCTCTTACTCGAACCGGCTGGCTTCCTTGTACGACTGAACCCAGACCAGAATCTAACCTCTGAAGCGATTTGATAAAGAACCAAGCCAAACACACAGCGCTGAAACTATAGCTGATCCCCCAACGAACCTCCTCGGAGCTGCAGCCCGTGATGCAGCCTTGAACTTTCGCCAGACCTTCAGAGTCATTTTGACTTGACAGCGGGATCCCCATGCTAGTTTCGAAGAACCAGAGACTTGTCGCAGGAGCTGGTCAGAGATGAAGTCTGGGAGGCCCGATGGTTTAGGGTTTAGGGTTTAGGGTTTAGGGTTTACGGTTAGGGTTTAGGGTTTAGGGTTTAGTGTTGTCAAGGTCGATTATCAGTGCTGTTCCTCGGGTTGCATTCTTACATGCTCCGCCGCTTCGTATAGCCGTCAGCGCCGCTGGCCGCTGCCCATCCACACCATAAGGGCCAGCGCCGCAACTGCCTCCGCCACCACGACCCCAGCTTTCCGAAACGACTATCTCCTGAGTTCTCCTGTGTTGGAGAGGGATGGGGAATCTCTGCTGTTTTGTCCCAACCACCAAGTCGTTGCACTGTATAAAAGCTGGCAAGCTTTACAAACTAACTTGCTGACACGGCAGGTAAGCTTTCATTCTAAATGACCGTCATTGTGCTCATAATCATCCTCGACCGCAACAGAATCATAGCTATATCCATGGCAACGACCTCACTATCGGATCATCGCCGACGTCGACACGTTCGTTCTCTTCCTTTTGCCCCAGCCCCAAACTCACAATCAGGCCCGAAAATCTAGCACCCTGCTCCCAGTGTGGAGACAGGCTCGTTTTGCAGGTTGCCGTAATGCCCCAAACCCCCATAAACCCCAAACCCTAAACTCCAAACCCCACCTTAATCCTTAAAGCTGTGAAGCTTTGAGCACGGCAGGAGATCAAGAGCCATTTGCTCAGAGGTGGCTGGCCAAAAAGCACGGACACCACCATCAGGACCACCAACCCCAACCAAAAAGCCTGATCGTTTAGCGTGCTAGGCTTAGGGTTTTCGGCTAATGTGGAATCGAAATTTGAGAGTTTAGGCTTGTGTGGCGTTGGCCCTTGGAGACTCGAGCAAGCACATATCCAATCAACACAATAATCTCTTAGATTACCAGTTGAATTTGGTCATTTTGAGGGTAGAGCTTCCAAGACCAGCAAGCAGCGAACTATCTTCCAGCATTCTGCTACCATAGCCTTGGAGCCGCACGGACCGAGCAGAAGGTTTCCCAGCCCACCTAAACTACTGCGACCGCCGAGACATTTAAGAAAAGAGGTTCTGGTCTTCCTGTGGTTTGTTGCCGGCTTTTCTGAAGGGGTTGCTGGGGCTTTAGGTGGCGTCTCTGAGGCTTTGAAGGGCTTCTCGAAGGTCTCGGATCTAGGCATCAGCGACCATTGCCGTCTCGGCACAGGAGCGTGACCGTTGCCTGCTGGTTGCAAGACCAGTGCCTCGATAGCAACGAGCCATAATGCATGTTGCTGTGCACCGTAGCGTTTAGGTTGAGAAGGTATAGTCTGTAATACTACAGAAACAACCTTCCCGGGTAGGTAGCTTAGCAGTTTTCACAATCATCATGACCATCTTCAAAACCATGGAGTTGATATGATACTGGAGGCCCCGATGCAGATAAGGGGCGGAGTTGGGCAGTGAAAGTCGAGACAAGAGTGAAGATGAATCCTGTCAGTGGTTTGACGAGCCAGGCCCGCAGACGAACTGCATTTTGAGTAATATAGACACTGGAAGAATTACGAATATGATGCCCCAGAGTCCCTTATTGATTGTTTTATACTATATTCACCAAAACCCTGTTCTATCTATGAAGGCCCCAAAATTGGTTTTGCCGGGCAAAGCCTCTCTTCGACAGCATGTGGTCTCATAAGATTTATTAGCAGGCTTCGTAGGAGGCGATTTCTTCTTGAAGCTCCCATGTATACCGTCGACTTGTAGGTGTGTCATTCGTGAGTGGTTCGAACGTGTATACACTATTGATATGTGCACGTATGCAGAATTCGTATACATATACATATACATACATACATACACACACGCATATATATATATATATATATCCCACCGTTCCTTTGCATATACCAGCATATAAGTACTTGCTGCGCAAGGCTCTGTCATCAACAATTCCCTATCAGCATAAAGGCCCAACCCTAGACCCGAAACGCTACTTGGAGGTTCATGGGTAGTTATAAATAGGGTTAAAAATGATAACTATACTTATAACCCATATTAGGGGACTTATAACCCTACTTAGAACTGCCCATGAACCTCCAAGTAGGACCTAAACCCTAAACCCTAAACCCTAAACCCTGAACCCTAAACCCTAAACCCTAAACCCTAAAGCCTAAACCCATGAGAGTCCCAACGACCTGGATCCTCCTCGGACTCATCGGGCGCGAACGAGAGCTGGGACTCTAGGTCGTCCTAGTTGTGCAGGGCAATTAGGGTTTATGGTTCAGGGTTTAGGGTTTAGGGTTCAGGGTTTAGGGTTTAGGGTTCAGGGTTTAGGGTTTAGGGTTCAGAGTTTAGGGTGCTCGGGGCTTTTGGGGTTTGAGGTTTAGGGTGTCGAAAGCAGTTCGAGTTTGGGTCCAGGGTGTTCAAGGCATGTAGGGTTTACTGCTTGAGGTTCATAGAAAGTGTAGACGGGCTTAGGGAGGGGGAGGGGGAGGGGTCAGATTTTTGGGGGGGCGTACCTCAGAGCTTCGGTTCAGGGATTGTGGGTCGGTCTCGGGCCTTTTGGGTGGAAGTTTAGGGCCTTGTGGGTTGTAGCTTTTGAAGACAAGTGACAGAATCCACCAAATCCAAATTCTAGGCCCTAGACACCCCAAAATTAAAAGCAATTAACCCTAATCTCAGAAAGTCCAAGCAATCAGAACCGTAGATACTTATTCTGACACGCCGCCGGAGCAAGAGAATTGCAAACCTCATCTGCGTCGTTCGCATCGTCTTCGGCGCCCATTGCGATAACCCACGGGGTTCCGCTAGGCAGCGCGATTCTTGCAGAGCCAACACCGAAAATCGGGCCAACGCAACTACAGGAAACTGTCCCCTTGACATGCCAGGTAGCCTAAAGTGGGAAAGAAAGGGTCCGTAATCCTTACAATACAGTCTTGGGGTATTTAGTATAGTATACTCACTGTTCGGAACCCTCGGGAAGACTACTGGGAATCATTCAAGCTGCTAACTTTCTATTAATCGACTGTAAACCTCGACATACCGGGGTCTTGGGGGTGACCTTATGGACAGGTCTAGGAACGACCTTGTCCAAACATACACTGCCGGTGGTTGCACTGAACGCATGAAACCTGAACCTCTTGGACCCGCAAAACTCCCTTGACACCGAAACCCTTGAACCCAAAACCGCAAACCCTAAACCCTACACTACACCCCTCACTCTTAACCCTATTAACCCTAAACCCAGAACCCCTAAAACCCACACCATAACCCCCCCCCCCCGAAATCCTGGGACTTGCAACAACTCATACATCTCAACTGCAAAGACGGATGGAGTCATTAGAGAAGGGCCGGGACTTGTTTAGATACGGGGAAAGCTAAATAGTCGACCGAAAACCCTCGAACCCTGATACATACATACACATATACATATACATATATACATATATATATATACACATACATGTATGTGTGTGTGTGTGTGCGTGACACATATATATATATATATGATTGTATATATATATATATGCAAACACATACGTATGCATATAAATATGTATATATATATATATACACACACAGGTGCGTGTGTGCATGTCTTCAGTCGCATGTATATCTATATGTGTATACATATGCATGTGTGACTGTATTTATATTTATATTCTATATATACATATATGTATATACGTATGTATGTATATGCGCTTGTTATGTGTGTACATACACATATATATATATATATATGTACATATATATATATGTATACACACTAATCCTGGACGAGGCGCCTAAACGCCGAGGTATTCAAGACCTGTTTTGTCAGCCGAGCCCACACCAAAGCCTCCCAAATGACCTACCTACACGAGGATTCCAAAATCAGCTTTACCTATAGTCTCCATTGTAGTTCCTTTTTTTGGTTTAACCAATTATATATTAAGGATTTTATAAGGTATCCCCATAAAGGAACTACAATGGAGACTATAGGTAGAATTGGCGAAGCAAAGAAGAGAAAGGTAGCATACCCAGAGGGCCCTAGGTACTGTTATGGGGGATACTTTCCCAAATCAGAATAACAATCCCTAATACAGAAACCCTACATTCTACTATACAGGTACTTTGGACCCTTTAGGAAAGCAAGAAAGCTTCAGGGTCTAACTTTTCGGGGTTAGGGTGAATCAGAAGTATCAGTGCCCCCGCAAAAGGCAGGAGATGTACAGCTCCGGGTCAGAGAAACCGATAACGCGTACACCCTATAGGCCTTTGTAAACCCTACAAACCCTAGGCCCGCCAAGCCGGATGGCTAACAGCTCCAGGTCAGAGAAACCGGTAAAGCGTAGACCCCAGGCCATCATAATCCCCATACGCCCTAGTTAAGGGACAATAGGAAGGACCCCCGAGAAGGGACCCCTAAACCCAATACCCTATATAACCCTTATATACCCCTTATATAGTCTCATAAGGCCCGTATATAACCCCAAGGGTCCCTTTAAGGATCCCTCCTTTAGTCCCTGCCTGCAAAGCCGCATGGCTAAGACATGACGCGTGCGCCCGCGATTCCATCCTCCGTGGCTGCGTCCCCGCAGCCTGGCGCTAAGTAATGTAGGGTTTAAGGTTTAGGGCTTAGGGTTTAGGGTTAG